TTTCTGGAATAGTGACTACTCGTGCAAAGTGGTTAGTGATAACAAGCAACAGATTTCTTTTGAGGTTGAACATATTATGAGGCAGGAGAGACTCTGGATCACTGTAGTTTATGCTAGCACCAAGTCAAGAAGAAAAAAATATCTGGAAAGCCCTTACCAATATGAACAACCAGATTGATGGCCCTTGGTCCATTTTGGGTGATTTTAATGTTATTATGGAAGCCAATGAAAAGAAAGGAGGACGACTTCATAGACTTGGTAAAAGTCTAAAATTTCAGATGTGGTTTACAGTGGAAAGGATTTCACATGGACTAATGGTAGAAAAACAAAAAAGGAAAAGGATTCTTCAAAGGCTCGACAGAGTTTTTTACAATGATGCATGGTCTTCTACTTTTCATATCTCAATTGTGTGTGATCTCCCTAGAATTGGTTCTGATCATAATGTACTACTCCTAAATTGCTCAGAATCAGTCACTCCACCTATTAAATATTTTAAATTTTTAAATTTTTGGGTGGACCATCCGAATTTTGTGGATGTTCTAAAGGGATGCTGGGATGAATATGTACAAGGGAATGTTATGTACTCTCTACATCAAAAACTTAAAAGGATAGCTCACTATCTTAGTAGATGGTCTAAAGAATATATTGGTAATGTCTTTAATAAGATAGATGAGCTGGTGCAGAAGGTTGATCAGATGGAATTCAGATATGCTCAAGATGACAGTGAATCTAATAGGACTAGGCTTCATTGTTTATATGCTGAGCAGATCAGATGGATGAATATGGAGAATGCCATCCTTTGACAAAAAGCTAATGTCAAGTGGGAGGAGGGAGATAGCAATACGAAATACTTCCACGGTATTATTTAACAAAAGAAGAATAGATCATTTATACATAACATTGAAAATGATAATGATCAATGGTTCAAGGGAATGATAGAATTGCAGAAGCAGTTGTGTCACATTATTGCAACCTTTCCTCAAAACCATCTCAGGATAATAACATGAATTTCTTGAATAGAGTGGATAGAATCATTACTGATGTGGATAATTAGAGATTACAATAACCTCCTACCGATGAAGAAGTGAAGGAAGTTGTACTATCCCTTCATCCAGACAGTGCGGCTGGTCCTGGTGGCTTCAATGGTGGATTTTACCAATCATGTTGGCATATTATTTCTGATGATGTTTGAGCTATGATTAAAGAATTCTTTCTTGGTCGTAGCCTGTCAAAGTTTTTCACTCATACTTACTTGGTTTTAATTCCCAAAGTGCAGGCTCCTACCTCCTTTTTCCCAGCTGAGACCTATAAGTTTGAGTAACTTCTCAAACGAGATTATCTCCAAGATAATATCCAACAGAATAACTGATTTTCTCCCTAGACTGATATTTGAGAACCAGACTGGTTTCATTAAAGGAAGACTCGTTACCGAGAATATTCTTTTGACTCAGGAGATAGTTCAAGATATTTAAAAAAAAAATGGGGTAATATGATGATAAAAGCAGACATGGCTAAAACTTATGACAAGGTGTCTTGGAACTTCCTCAGTGTTGTGCTTAAAAAATGGATTTTGCTGATCAGTTTATTAATATGGTTCAAAAATTAATTACCAATATCTGGTACTCAGTGTTAATTAATGGTATTAGATATGACGTCTTCCCCTCTTCTAGAGGTTTAAAGTAAGGAGATCCATTGTCTCCTAGTCTGTTTATTGTTATTGCGGAGGCTCTATCCAAAGCTCTTAATCATCTTCAAAATAAAAAAAAAGTATAATGGTTTCTCAATGAATAGTAGAGGTCCTAAAATCAGCCATCTGGCATATGCAGATGACCTGGTTATCTTTACTTCTGGTAACAAATATAGCATCAAACAAGTGGTGAAGGTCCTAAATCAATATGAGAAAGTCTCTGGTCAGAAGATTAACAAATGAAAAAGTTTCTACTTAACCTCTAATCATATCTCGGATCAGAGGAAGAATATGTTGAGCAGGATCACAGGTTATAAATATCAATCTTTTCCTTTTACTTACTTGGGTTGACCTATTTATTCTGGCAGGAAAAAGATTTATTATTTTGCTGATACATCCAAGAAGGTTATGAATAAAATCAGTGGCTAGCAGGGACAACTTTTGTCTAAAGGTGGCACGGTTGTCTTGATCAAGAATGTGTTACAATCTCAGGCCATACATAGATTAGTGGTAGTCTCTCCACCCAAAGTTATTATCAGACAACTGAATACTTCTCCAACTTCTTCTGGGGCAAAGCTAAAAAATAGATATCAATGGAGTTCATGGATCAAGCTATGTTATCCAGTGGGCGAAGGAGGTGCTGGTTTTAAGAGTCTTGAGGACCTGTGTAAGACTTTTGCAGCCAAGAGGTGGTGGAGATTTAGAGTGGAGGATAATCTATGGTCTCAATATATGAAGGCCAAATACTGTCCTAGAAGTCGCCCCGTGGCGAAGGCCATAGAATCTAAGCACTTTGTCGCATGAAAAGAGCTCATGATTATCAAGAAAGGGACAGAACCTCATATCTTATGGAAAATTAATGAGGGTAATATCTCATTCTAGTGGGATAATTGTACATGAATTGGTCCATTAGGTTTGTACATTGAAAATAGCAAGAAACTTGGTAATCTAAGGCTTAATACTTGCATCATAAATAACATCTGGGATGAACAAGTATTATCCAGATTGATTCCAACCAATCTTCTCAATCATATTGTTAAGATCCCAATAGGTAATAGACAACATGTGGATATTCCAATCTGGATAGCTACCACCACTAGAGATTTCACATGTTCCTCCGCCTTCAATCTTATCAGACAAAAATTGAGGCTCTCACAATTTAAAATAATGTCTGGAGAAACAACATCCTTTTTAAAATGTCATGCAATTTGTGGAGAGCTATGAAAGGAAAACTTCTTGGGGATGAAGTTCTAAGGAAGTTTGGATATAATGTCGTGTCTAGATGTTCTTATGCAGGAATCCTAAAAAGAAACAATTTCTCATATTTTCTTGACTAGTGATATTGTATTTCTAATTTGGAATTTCTTTGCATTTCCTCTTGGAATCAAGTCCAACTCTCTCTATTGCTTACACCTTGAAGGATTGGACAACTAATAATAACAAGAATATTATGATCAGATCCTTATGCCAGGCAGCCCCAATATTTATATATTGGGAACTATGAAAGAATAGATATGCAATCAAATATGGAGATAAGAGAACTTCAGTTTTAAGGATATGGCATGATGTTCTTTTTCACTTGAAGATCTTCATGAAAAAGAATGGAATTGTTGTAGATATGAACTGGACTTGGTACCAGCTTTACTGTAATATAGAGGATCACATGCATATAATCATTAGCAAAGAAATATGGTGGGGTAGGCCTCCTGTTGGATGGATAAAAACTAATACAGATGGAAGTAGCAATATAACTATGAAGATCGCGGGCATAGGTGGTGTTGTTAGAAACATAAATGGAGAGCTTATCATGGCATTTGTTAAAGCTTTACAATTCTGCACTAACAACCAATCTGAAGTTCAAGCAGCTTTACATGCTTTGCAGTGGTGTAAGAATAGTAGCATTCACAATGTTATCGTGGAAATGGACTCCTTGATGGTTATGAATATCACTAAGGATATTTACAATACTCCCTGAGAATTGGTTGACCACATAAGAAGTATGAGACAGATCATTCACTCTAAAAGTATTACAGTCCAGCACTGCTATAAAGAAGAAAATAACACTGTTGATGCACTGGCTAATTACAACTTTTAGAGTTGAGAAGCTGAGACCTTTTACAGTATCACAGTCCAGCACTGCTATGAGCGGGCTTACAACTTTTGTTAGAAGCTGAGACCTTTTACCATGTTAGGGAGTTACCTCTTTCAGCTAGAGGTTCTTTCAGAATGGAAAAGGACCAACTTTCGTGCTTTAGAATCAGACAAATCAAGAGGGGCCATGATATTATCCATAAATAATGATATAATTATCTTTTTTGTTATATGTATCCTAACAAACCTTAACCAATGAGATTCCCTTCTCTGTATATCTTAAACAGATCAAGCTACTGCTCGGGCACAATGTAATTTTTGCATGCCTCACATGAATTTAAAGTTGGTGACATCCAACTCACATATGTACTTGGGAGAGGTTAGGGATTATGTCCCCTACTCCATGTGTTTACTTTTTGAATTTTGGTAATATACAGGTTGAGGGTTATGCCTTAACCCTCACACCACCATGGTGGCTTTTATGTATTAAAAAAAAGAACTAAGTAGGTGTTTGGACATAAAAATTTGTAATTTTTTAAAAAATAATAGTATTTGGAGTTAAGTTTAAAAATGGCATTTGGATTTTGAAATTATGTCTGAACATGCATTTCATTTGAAAAAATATTGTAGTTTTGTGAGTGGGGAAAAAAACTTTTCTGAAAATATTTTTTGAAAAACTCATTTTCGAAAAATTTCGAAAAACTTGTAAAATTTCATGGACAAACACATTTTTGGAAAAAAAAATTGAAAAAAAGGAAAAACGTTTATGGACAAACAAGGCCTAAATCTGTTTGGAAATTATTTTCCACTTAGCATTCTAGATTTTTATTTTTCTTCTCCTTGTTGCTACTTTGATTTTCTTCTATTTATGAGATTGCACTAATAGTTCTATTCAAGGTGTTCCCAAAATAGTGGTCACAATTAAAAAAAAAATAAGGTAAAAAGTAAAATAAAATATTAGTAAGGGAAAAAAAAGGAAAAAACTAAAGTAATTATGTGACCACAACAAATCATAGTATTTTTATCTTACATAACGACAAGAATACGGCAATACAATAAGTACTTTACAAGTTGTTATTTGGAACCCGTATATTACTTGGAGCCCAAGAATAGCACTGCTTTTTATTGTTTTTATTTGTTTTTGTTCAAAGTAGAATCGGAAAAAATTCAGTTGGGTCCCACCATGAGAAGGTTATATATAGACAGTCTTAACAAAGGAACTTCTCATCTTCCGTATTAATTCAAATTCAAACATACGTCATTAATTAAACCCTAATTCACCATGGGAGTTTTCGCCTAATCTAACAAAGTTTCAGAGCACCATGGCGATCTTCTTCTTCTTCTTCTTCTTGATAGCAGCCTTACCAATCTCAATTTCAAATTCACAAGTGCCCATCAGAAAGGCAGATCAAAACAGAACTTTTGAAACTAGTTTCTCTCTTTTAAGGTGAAATTTTCATATATTGTGATCAATTATATGTATTATGGTGTTTGGGTAGTCAATAGTGTTAATGCTGATTTCATTATTGAATGTCAATAGTAAATATGTCCGGGTAAAGTGTGTATATTTATTTACTTTTTCTCTTTCTTTATAGAATCAATGATTCCGATCCTAGTCTGAATTAAAAGATACTAATCTTGGTTCTTGCATACAGGATTGAGCAATTTTTTCTGAATGTTGAAGAAGATGGCTCAAAAAGAGATAATAATGGAGCAGGATTTAAGAAAGCTGGATGTGACGAAACTACATCCACTTTCACCTGAAGTTATATCCAGGCAGCCTACAATCAACATTGGTAATTTTTATTATAACCCCATTCTTGTTTTCCTGGGCAAGTTAATTATGGACTAATAAAATGGTTTAAACTTTTGTTAGGCCTCATTGGCCATGTAGCACATGGCAAAACCACTGTTGTCAGGGCAATCTCTGGTATCCAGGTACCCTTAATTACTCTTTTGTCTGTAGCCCTTTGAACACTTTTTGTTATGTTTGGCCGTCTCAATTTCTTTTGTTTTTTATTTGATCATTGATCATCTTGTCCATACATTGTACTAGATAGAAGGAGAAATACAAGGTTGAAAAAGTGATTACTGTCTTTTTCATAATCTTGTTAATCTGAGAATTAACCAAATTATAATTTTTGGGAAAAATTACACGACACAGCAAACATATACACTATATTTATCATTCATAACTATACTTTCAGCAAATATACCATTCGTAGCTATATTTGAATTTTATAGCAAATCCATGAAACAAGAGATTAATTTTTTTGAACTGAAATAAGAGAGCAACAAGCTCTCCTAGCTCAATTGGTTAGAGGGTCCGCTTTATTAGCGGAGGTCTTGAGTTCTATATCTCCTAGCTCAACAAGAGCATTTTATTTTTCTATATTTCTGTATTTCGCCTTGGTTGTATTTCGTTGAATACTTGTATACACCCCTGTATACAGTTGTATACACCCCTGTATACAGTTGTAATTCGCCTTGGTTACTGTTGATACATATTGTACTAGTTACGCGAATGAATACAATTGCGCGGACGAATACAGTTGATATAGGTTGTATTCGTTGGGCGAACGAATACAGTTGACACAAGCTATATTCGTTGCGCGTTTGAATACAAGTGATACAAGTTGGTAACAATTGAACAGTAGCTATTAATGGTAATTAGGCAAACTATAGTTACTAGGCTCTAAACTATAGTGCTTTATGAAAAATCCTCTAATTTTGACCTCTCGTTTAACTTGCTTTTATGGAGCTCTTACTTTTTTTATGCCATCTAATTATCAGACTACTCGATTCAAATGTGAACTGGAGCGTAACATAACTGTGAAACTTGGATACGCAAATGCAAAGATATACAAATGTGAGGATGAAAGTTGCCCGCGGCCTTTATGCTACAAGTACGTATGTTAATGTGAATTATTTGTTCCTATGCTTCCTTGAAGAATATATTGTTAAGCTCTACCTAATTTTTTAGGTCATATGGAAGTGGTAAAGAAGATAATCCTCCATGTGATGTTCCTGGATTCAAGAACTGCAAGATGAAACTGCTCAGACACATTTCTTTTGTAGATTGCCCGGTATTGCTACTTCATTCGTGGAACCTTAAAACATTACTGCACTTGGCGACAAGCTAGTAGAATTTGTTCTTTGCATTTATATTTTGCTACAGAATTCTTATAAAAATGTGGAGGGGCTTTCTTCTGAATTTTGGCAACATAATTTAGGATTGATCACATGGTAACTCGTCTGAATGATCCTGCATTGAAATTGTTTTCTTTTTTAAGTTTTATAGTCACACTGCATTTTTATCTTTCTAGGAGTTAGTATGTTTGGGATTATAGGTGATAAGTCAATTTTTCTACTACTTGAAACCTGGCAAAGCATCTGTACTTTTTACCGCATGTGTTATCTCAAAATTTTGGTTGTCCAATTAATCTATGAGTATGAGTTACATTACTACATTGTAACTATATTTAGCTTTGGCTGCGTTGTTATGACTTTGTGTAGGGGCATGAGATACTGATGACTAGAATGCTGAGCGGGGCAACAATTATGGATGGAGCTTTCCTTCTAATAGCTGCCAATGAAAGTTGTCCTCAGCCCCAGACTCTAGAGCATTTATCTGCTGTTGACATCTTGAAGCTCCAAAACCTAATCATTCTTCAGAACAAAGTTGACACTATACAGCAGGATCAAGCTAGAAATCAGTATAAAGCAATCCGTGAATTTCTGAAGGTTAGTCATTCCAAAGAGTTTTGCATGTTGATTACCTGGTATTTAAACATTTTGCTAAAGAAGAAATTCATCTTATGCCTATCAGGGAACAGTTGCAGAAGGTGCACCAGTTGTACCTATTTCCGCGCAGCTTAATTACAACATTGATGCTGTTTGTGAATATATTGCAAGGATTCCCATTCCTAAGAGAGATTTTGTATCACCTCCCCGTATGGTTGTGATTCGATCTTTCGATGTGAATAAGCCTGGTTGTGGGATTGATGACATGAAGGGTGGTGTTGTAGGTGGAAGTATCATTAAGGTATAACTGTTATAACTATCTGCCACACACTATAAAGAACATATTTTAATGTGTCTAAATATATCTGATGAAAGTTGTCTTTTGACAATTCCCACTGACCAATTTTGGGAAGCTGTTGGTAACCAAGTGTGATTAAATCTGAGTTTAACCTTTAAATTCTTTATTATGTCTAAACATATATCATTGACCTCTGGTTCTCAGGGTGTTCTAAAAGAAAATCAGATGGTTGAGCTTCGTCCAGGCATCCTTGACAAAACTGCAGATGGAAAAACCATCTGTAGACCAATATATTCCAGAATTGTGTCATTATTTGCAGAGCAGAATAAGCTTCAGTTTGCTGTGCCAGGAGGCCTTATTGGGGTTGGCACATCAATGGATCCTTCCCTATCATGCAGCGATATGCTTGTTGGTCAAGTCCTTGGAGACGTTGGTACACTCCCTGAAGTGTATATTGAACTTAAGGTTAGCATGCATTCTTTAGCCTTTTTAGCTTTTGTTGTAATATCTTTTATTGCTTACTAAATCATGCCATTTTAGTTCCTTTATTGTTTGGCCAAGTCACTAGGAATATGTGGTACACTAATCCTCTTGGCAACTTATTTCTCATCATCTTTTATCTACAGATCAGGAAAATTAAACTGCTGCGTCGGCTTGTAGGGGTTGAGGAAAAAGAGTCAGAAAAGCAGGTGGCGAATCTGGTGAAGGGTGAAGTTCTAATGCTGAATATATTGTCCATGGCAACTGGGGCTCAAGTCATTAAAGTGAGAAATAACAGCGCGAAATTGCAACTAACTGCACCTGTATGCACTGGCATAGGCGAGAAGGTGGTGCTCAGCCGTCGAGTTGGTGGCCACTGGCGTCTCATTGGGTGGGGTGAAATTGAAGACGGAGTGGCACTAGATGTGCCACCCACACCTGCAGATATTCTCTTTACAGTGTGAACTTGGTTCTTTCTATTTTATGAATTGCTTTCTGATGAGTGTTTCTTTTTAGCTTTTGTTTAATTGTTCCTATGGATTTGTATTGTCGACTTGTCGAACAATAGATTTTTGGCATGACACATGCTTACTTCAAGTATTTGTGGATTTTATCCGCTCTTTTCTCACCTAAATGAAAATGCTCTAAATTCTGTTGGCCCTCAAGCAAAGTTTTTATTACTTCTATTGATAGATTTCTTTTCGCATGTTAGTAGTTAATTCTAGACACTGTTGTAGAAATCTAAATTTCAAAACAAAAAAAGAATCGAAAGGAAAAACTCAGCATAACAATATTAATCATAGACTCAATGCATCAGAGATGTAGGTCACATATAAATGAGATGTCTTAAGTAAAAGCTCTCACATAGTCATCGCATGCCACGCGCAATGATAATCAAGAGAGATAACACAACAAACTCACTCGAGTACAAAGACAAAATAAACATGCAGTAGCGAACATAAGGAAACTCTTTCCATATATAGGAGTTGATCACCATCCACCTGTAGCGGATCAGTTTATCTCGACACAAAACTACACATTCTATACTATGTAATGAAGAACGAGCAGCAAAAAAAAAAAAAGTAATCCTCATTAGCCACTAGACATGCTTTATGAAATTTTATATTTTAGTCAGTTAATTAGCGATGGATTTAATTCAGATTCTTCTCTCTTCTACATTTTTCCCTTTTTAAAATGAAGAAACTCCAATTGAGATTAGTACACGGGTACATGTTCTTTTTAAACGTCTATTGCAAATTCAAAATGGTCATATAATCCATCGCTACGACTGTTATTGTGCTGGATGCACAGGTATAAGTGGAAAACAATTTCTGGTGACAAAATACCTACACATTTGAGCCCTCGTGGACGAACTTTTTAAGTCGGAAAAAAGATCATATTTGTCCCTCTACTTTACGAAATTATTCACCTTTGTCCCTAATTCTATTATCCAATCAAATTTGTCCCCACTGCTAACAAAGTAAACAAATTGGTCCCTAATCCTAACAGAGTTACAACGTGGCAACGGGTCCCTTCTCTTTGACCGCCAACTAAGAAAATTTTCAACCCAAATTAACAACATTTCCTATTATCTGACCCCGACTAACCTAGAAACTGTTATAAAATAAAGACTATAAAGTAAGACTGTTACAAAATAAAGACTATAACGTAAAGACAAGTATAGGGAGAAACTGATATATTATTTAAACTTCAAACTTATGTACATAATGAACTGAAAACTCCTCTATTTATAGAAAAAAGGAAGCAGCTGCGAGGCTTTTCAGGAAGCAGCTGCAAGGCTTTTCTTTAGCTGCTTGTAAGCTGTCTGCATGAGTTGCTTGTAAGCTGTCTGTTTAATAAGAAGCTGTTGCAAATCATTTCATTGAGCTGCTTGCAACCTGCCTGCATCAGCTGCTTGTAGATAAATTTCAACAGAGTACTAAATGGATAATCTTCTTCAGGAAGATTATCTATAGCGGAGTAATAAATGGACATCCACAATATAATTATTTTCATAACACTCCCCCTTGGATGTTCATTAAAAGGTATTGTGCCTCGTTAAAACCTTACTAGGAAAAACCCAGTGGGAAAAATCCTAGTGAAGGAAAAAGAGTAAACATATTTAGTAATACGCATTTCTAGCTGCCTCATTAAAAACCTTATAAGGAAAACCCTGTGGGAAAAAACGTTAGTAAGGAAAAAAGAGTACATCGCGTATTTTACTCCCCCTGATGAAAACCTTGTTTCAAATATTTGAGTCTCCGCATTCGAATCTTTTATACCATCTTCTCAAAAGTTGAAGTTGGCAAAAATTTAGTGAATAAATCTGTCGGATTGTCACTTGAACGGATTTGTTGCACATAAATGTCACCATTTTTCTGAAGATCGTGTGTGTAGAATAATTTTGGTGAAATGTGCTTCGTTCTATCTCCTTTTATAAATCCTCCCTTCAATTGGGCTATGCATGCAGCATTGTCTTCGTATAAAATTATGGGTCTTTTTTCACATTCCAAACCACATTTTTCTCGAATAAAATAAATTATTGATTTCAACCATACGCATTCCCTACTTGCTTTATGAATAGCTATTATTTCAGCATGATTTGAAGAAGTAGCAACAATAGATTGCTTTGTGGAGCAATATGATATGATAGTACCTCCACATGTAAACACGTACCCGGTTTGAGATCTAGCTTTATGGGAATCAGATAAATAACCTGCATCTGCATAACCAACAAGATCTGCACTATCTTTGTTAGCATAAAACAAACCCATATCAAGAGTTCCCTTTAAATATCG